CAATGACATCAGCGGAGCTATTATGGTTGAAGAACTTATTGGCTGATCTAGGTGTAAATTGTAAGCAACCAGTAAAGATCTACGAAGACAATCAGTCTACAATCCATCTTCTTCAACGTTGGGAGCATAAACGTTTAAAGCATGTCGATATGAAATATAATTTTATTCGCGACTTAAAAGAAAGTAATGTCATAGATGTAATATACATAAGTACTAAAGATACAAGACTATGCAATATTAGCATTGAATGCAGAAGCGTATCTTGATGATGTGCCTGAAACGTTCGAGGACATAAAACTCAGAGACGACAGAGATCAATGGAACCAAGCGATCCAGGAGGAGATTACAGCTTTGGAATCAAATCAAACTTGGGATTTGGTAAAACTTCCTGATGGAAAACGTTCTATAGACAGTAAATGGATTTTTAAAATAAAAACTGATCATAAAGGAAGACGAGAACGCTACAAAGCTCGCTTAGTCATCAAAGGCTGTTCTCAAAAAAGAGGACTTGATTATGAGGAGACGTACGCACCTGTAGCAAGGCTAACAACTATAAGAACATTACTAGAAGGAGGAGATATATATGAAACCCCCTTTGGGCTAGAACTGTCATCAAGATCTCGTATGCAAACTTCGAAAAACATTATTTAAGCAAGCTCCTAGAGCCTAGAATGAGACTTTCAATAATTTTGTAAGAAGTTTAGGATTGCAAAACTCCGAGACGGATCAGTCGATAAGTGTCTATACATCAATAAAAGTAGCACTCACAAACTCTACTTATTACTCTATGTTGACGATATAATTATTGCCGGAGACAACATGAAGAAAATTCAAGAGCTCAAATTGGCATTAAGTAGCAAATTTCACATGAAGGATTTAGGAGAACTGCAAACATTCTTGGGAATCAACATCAAGAGGACAAGCGATAAACTTCACATAAATCAAGCTACATATGCTAAAAAACTTCTAAAACGATTTGGCATGGAAGAATGCAAACCGGCGAAGACTCCAATGGAAATTAAACCACCTGAGGATGAAACCGCTGAAGCCATAGAAAACTCTAAACCATATCGAGAATTAGTTGGATGCCTCATGTATCTTATGTTAAGTACAAGACCGGATTTGAGTACGGCTGTAAATCATTTCAGCAGATTTCAAGGTAATGCCACGGAAGCACATTGGAAAGGACTCTGAAGAGAATTCTTCGCTATATTCGGGGCACTGTTGAACTTGGTTTACTATACTGCAAAGGAGGAAAGGATCCCCTTACTGCTTATTCTGATGCTGACTGGGGAGGAAGTTCTGATCGAAAATCTACCACAGGAAGTCTATGTATGGTTTTTGGTAATACTGTCTGCTGGACGACGAAGAAGCATTCGACGGTGGCTCTCTCGACTACAGAGGCCGAGTATGTTGCACTTGCAATAACATCAGCGGAGCTATTATGGTTGAAGAATTTATTGGCTGATCTGGGTGTAAATTGTAAGCAACCAGTAAAGATCTACGAAGACAATCAGTCTACAATCCATCTTCTTCAACGTTGGGAGCATAAACGTTTAAAGCATGTCGATATAAAATATAATTTTATTCGCGACTTAAAAGAAAGTAATGTCATAGATGTAATCATAATACATAAATACTAAAGATCAAATAGCAGACATAATGACAAAAGCTTTGCCTTATGAACAATTTAATAAGTTATGTACAAGTGTAGGACTGTATAATTTTTGGTAATTATACAGAATCACTGCCTCACCTTAAAAATCGATCAAATTAGGCTTATTCGATGCGTTTTTGCATGAAACGAAAGAATCTGGCAGAAAAAAGTGTCGCTCTGCCCTACGAACCGAGATATTTAACGTTAAAGTTGACGACTATTTAGGTTAGGAAATCTGTCAGGGCGGGTTCACACCTAGGCGGAAAAGCGGAAAGCAGAAAAGCGGAAGCCAATCAGAACACGCGCTGGTAGTAGGCAGTACTTTCCGCTTTTCTGCTGCTGTCTTTCCCCATTGTTCCGCATTCTGCTTTTCTGATTCCGTACATCTTTCTGCAGATAGTTGAGGCTTGAAGAAATTCTAGTAACAGACAGTCGTTATTTTTAAAAATATTATTACTGTGGAAAGAAATTGGTAAGTATGTGAATAAAATAAATGTATCTTTTTAATTTTAGTAATAAATTGATGTTTTGAGAATGTGTAAAATCTATTTCATAACCTCTAATTATTTTGGTTAAGTTAAAATATTAATACAAAAATTAATCCTCCTACACACAAGTTATAAGTTTTACATTATATTCTTTCATATATTAAAAGATTTGTGGATATACATTATGGGTGACGAAAATTTGCAATCTATCAGTGACATAGGATTCTCTCCTGAGACTCTTCAATGTAACATTGACATGCTACACAATAGGTATTTACATCCAGGTAAAGAGATTAATTCTTTCAATATATAAATAAACACTTATTTTTTAAATTAGTATTTGATTAAAATTAATATTCACATGAGAGAAATTGTCTGTATATTAAATATAAACATGTACTGATAACAAAAGAGACCTGTGATTCTCAAAAAAATATGGAAAGTGAAGAAGAATCTATAAATGAAGCATCTGAACAAGATGAGAATGTAGACTATATTGAGATCAGTGGAGATGTTCAAGAATTTACTGAAGTACTCATTGGTGAAGTTCAAAAACGTCCTGCGTTATACGATATTAAATCATCAATCCAAAGCAGAAGTCGAGTAATCGTTAATAAAATGTGGCAAGAGATTTTTGAAATCTTTGAAGGTGAATATAAAAAATATAATAAAAATGCATGAGTAAAAGTTATAAACAATTTGCACTAATATTACATTTATTTCAATTATACTTCATAATTTTTTTTCAGAAAATGTGTTTACTTGTATGTTAAAATTTTTATTTATTATAATTTTACATAGGCCAGGTACCAGTCGAAGAATTAAAGAGACGCTGGAAAGTTCAATGTGACAGATACATGAAGATTCGAAGTAATATGAAAAAAACATTACATAGTGGATCATCAGCAGCGGCCAAAAAACGTCTTAACTATAAATATTACGAACTAATGTCATTTTTAGATGATAGTATGGATCAACGAAAGTAAATATATCATATTTTGATTAATATAAAATAAAATTAAAGCTAAAAAATTAATTTTAAAAAAATGAGACAATCATTTTTATTACATTTTATAATTTATTTTAGGCATGTGTCGAATATATGTCTTAGTAGAAAATCACAACCGCTTGCTTCATCATCTAATTTTAATATTTCACAATCGAATAACACTTCTCACGTTGACAGTCCACTTTCATCGTGTGCTACTCAGGTTCCACCTATACTTACACCACCTTCACTTGAATTTTCGCAGTCTACTACATCTTCTCAGTCTTTGTCTTCTTCATTAAATTCTCCCGAAAGTTATAACTTCAGCAAATCATCAAGTATAGCTTTTATAAATACGAATTTTAATTTTTAAATTAATAATACCTTTTATTTACATGTTATTTTCTATCTTGTTAGAACGCCCACGACGCTCTACTACTATCGAAGACGAATTATTACATGGGCTTTCAGCTTTAAAACCACCAGTACCTGCTGCATCAGACTCAGTGGATCACTTCTGTCGCAGCATTGCAGATTCTTTACGAATGCTAGATATGAAAAACAGATTATCAGCTGAAATAGAAATAATGCAGTTACTCCATAAGTTTTACAATTAATAAGTGTAGTTCTACAATACCAAGCAATATTAACAGTAATGTTAAGATAGTATTAAAAACAGTATTAATAGTATTAAAAAAGAAAGGATTTCTTGTTTTAATTATATCATTAAAGAATTTATTGCTTGTTTAAATTCAAATATAATAATTTTGTATTTCAAATATAACAGTTATGTATTTCGTTTATCAATATTACGTTTTATTATAAGAAAGTGTTTCTTTTTAAGATTATATTATTGTAGACAAAAGTCTTGCACAGATACAAATGTTATACTAAATTTTTTTTGTTATCCTATTTTACAGATACAAATAAATTATAATAGTATTATTATTAGCAAAAATATTAATAGTATTAAAAACTATGTTAATAGTATCAAAAAAGAAAGGATTTCTTGTTTTAGTTATATGATTAAAGAATTTATTCTTTGTTTAAGTACAGATACAACAATTTTATATTTCAAACATAACAGTTATGTATTTTGTTTATCAATATTATGTTTTATTGTAAGAAAGTGTTTCTTTTTAAAATTATAATATGTATTGTAGACAAACGTCTTGCACAGATACAAATAATATACAAAATAATTTTTTTTGTTATATCCTGTTTTATTTACGTACAGATACAAGTACATATATAAACACACATAAATTTGTTATGTAAAAAAACGTTTTCTTAATGCGTACATATTTTTAAAAATAAAGTCATGTTAGGTTACATATTATTATTTTGAACAGCTTCATATTGCCAAAATACCGCTCCTTCATTCATAAAGTAATCTACAAATTTATTTCTTATTGTTACAGCATTATGTGATGTGCATTCATTTGTATCTATATAAGTAATATCTCTCATAGCTCCACATTCATTACTTTCATCAAACATTCTAGTAAATACATTCCGTGATTTATTTACGAATTTTTGTAATTCATCCTTTATTATAAAATTATAAAGACAAAGAGATGCTTTGATAATATTATCGACAGTCTCCAAAGACGCTATAATTGGTTTACGAAATATTCGCCATCGGGATGCTAAAATACCAAAGGCGCTTTCAATGGTACGACGTGCACGACTTAATCGATAGTTAAAGATTCTTTTTTCGTAAGTTAGAGAATTTCGAGGAAATGGTCGCATCATGTATGTTTTTAAGGCAAATGCTTCATCTCCAATCAAAACAAATGGTAACATACAATTCTCTAAAATATTTTCAGGAGGAGGCACATTTAATAGATTGCTTTCAAAAGCAATACCAATGTCACTTCTTTGAAATATTCCTCCATCGCTTTGGCGTCCTTCTGCTCCAATGTCTACAAGAGTAAAACAATAATTCGCGTCACAGACAGCCATCAATATTACACTATGGGATGTATGATAATTGTAAAATGTAGAGCCAGAATGTGAAGGTGCCTAAAATATTTATTTTTATTAACAATTAAAAATATATATTTATTTACCTGAAACAAATTAATTTATTTATCTGAATAATAATATGTTTCCCATCTATTGCCCCAATACAATTTACGAAATTCCATTTATCATTAAATTCCTTAGCAATTCTCTTCCAGTCATTTTCTGTTGGTTGTTTCAAAACAATTGGTTGTAAAATATTCCAAATTGCAGTTGTAGTCTCTGATATTATTTTCGATACCGTACTTTTGCCTATTCGAAACTGATAACTAAGTGATACCATGCTATCTCCGCTTGCAAGATAGCTGCCAATAGCAATTTATTAAATATTATAAATAAAATATAAGTTAAAATACATAATTAATATATTTTCTTATTAAATATTATAAATAAAATTTATTAAATATTATAAATAAAATATAAGTTAAAATACATAATTAATATATCATTAATATATTTTCTAACCGTAATGTCAAAGCAAATCTTGTTGCTGGTGGTATGGGTGAACGAAATAAAGTTTCTAATTTAGTTATATGTGGTCCAACGAAACCAAGTAAAGAATTGAATTGTTCTGGTGTCACTCGTAAATAATTGAAATATTTATTAGGTTCCATTAAGCACATTTCGTTTATAAGTCTTTGTGCACCAGCTTCTCTTCGTTGTGTTTCATGGAATATATTTCGTATCCAAATACGTCTTTTTGTTCTTCTTCGACGATTCAGCAATAAATAGACGTATAATGTATACAAAAACCAGTGATATTGATTGTTATATTCGTCCATTTAAAAAATATTTTTCCTAATACTTTTAATATTTGTGCTTTGTCTATATACATATAGCATATTGGATTGTGTACATACGAATCTTCAGAAGAGAATGTCGATGTCAGGCTGAATTTTTGTCACATATGTATCTATATTTGAATATATGAAAGAATATAATGTAAAACTTATAACTTGTGTGTAGGAGGATTAATTTTTGTATTAATATTTTAACTTAACCAAAATAATTAGAGGTTATGAAATAGATTTTACACATTCTCAAAACATCAATTTATTACTAAAATTAAAAAGATACATTTATTTTATTCACATACTTACCAATTTCTTTCCACAGTAATAATATTTTTAAAAATAACGACTGTCTGTTACTAGAATTTCTTCAAGCCTCAACTATCTGCAGAAAGATGTACGGAATCAGAAAAGCAGAATGCGGAACAATGGGGAAAGACAGCAGCAGAAAAGCGGAAAGTACTGCCTACTACCAGCGCGTGTTCTGATTGGCTTCCGCTTTTCTGCTTTCCGCTTTTCCGCCTAGGTGTGAACCCGCCCTAATACGGAACTACGGAAATGCGGAACTGCGGAACGTTCGTGATTGATCAATGGCTTCGTTCCGCCGAATCCGTCGCTTTTTTTCCGCAAAATTAGTTTTTCGGTGGATTCCGCCATTTCGTCGATGCGTAATGATTCATTGTAAAAATTAATCCGTAGAATAAATGGGAGAGACAGTACTTCTTCAATTAATTAGAGCCGTCAGACACGGAAAGAGTCGTGTCGAGAGTAAATAATATGCGAGACGCACGTGGAATTAAACCAGATTACGAGTTGTACGTGTATTACAGGAGTGCAGCTACTCGAAGTCTGTATCTTCTTATTAAATTAATAGTCTCCACTTCATACTATATACGGCAGGGTGAAAATGTAAATAAAAATCGATATACTAAACATAATCGGCAAGCGTTCTTGTATGCATATGTGATTTCCGTTCCGCCAAAGTACGTTTTCTAGTGTCCCATTGAGCGGAACTTGCGAATGCGCAATCGATGCGAGCCAATGACAAGCGCTATTCCGGTAGATCTAATAAAAGCGATCTACGAGAAAACTCTTGCAATTGGTTAGCGCTAATTGCGCATTCTGAAAGTTCCGCTCAATGGGATACTAGGAAACGTATGTACTTTAGCGGAATGGAATCGGCGGAACCAATCACGAACGTTCCGCAGTTCCGCATTTCCGTAGTTCCGCATTACATGGGACGGCACCCTCAATTGGAACAGCAATTTCGAATAGAATAAGGTTAATTTTTTAGTATGTGCCCGTACCTTGATATTTTGTAATCCGTGGTGGTACATTTCCGTATATTTCAACTAGAAGAACAATTTATGAAAAATTAGCATAGCACTCTATAAATTTGTACAAAAATTCGTTTATTATAATGTATATAATCTAAAAATATTTTCGAAAAGATCGACTAAGAAGACAAGGTTTTTTTTTTCCTATAAATAATTAGAAAAAAAATCATTAACACATGTATATATGTATAATTATGTGCGCTGTAATTATATATCTGAATAAAGTTGAAATAGCATACACATCTAACCTATAAACATACAAAAAAGATAATATATATTAAATATCAAATATCAATATCTTTATTTATCAAATATGATAAGAAAATATATAACAAAAATTTATTGATACCAAATAATTACTTCAATAATATTTTCATCGTCCATTTCGTTACCTTTTCCTTCTGTTCTTTACTGCATTTAAAAAAAAAAAACGAAAATTCATGTTTTCCAACATCATTATTAATCTCCCGACTAGAATGTCACTAGAAAATACAAGGCTACACAGCCCTCGGCTAAGTACAGATGTGTAGTATTGTGTTGACAATAACGGACAATTGGAACGTAACTTGTGTCGCCGTGTGCACGAAAGTGTCTAGGAATATTGTAATTGGAAAGCACCCATTATGGAGAATATAGCAAGCATACATAGTAGGGGATGAGATCTGTCCTTCGCATCGGTAATTTGTCTAATAAACATTTCCATCGTCCTTTTAAAAGACCTATAGACTGTTCCACAAACATTCTGCTTCTAGATAGAGCATAATTATAATTGGTTTCGTCAGCTGTTAGATGCCCATTGTCTTTATATGGTACTGTAAGCGACAACTCGCTTCTCATAGTTTTTAAGTTGGCAATGCGCTCGTTACCAGACTCCCTACCACAGCGTGGCGCTGTGCTATGGAGAAGAGACCGTGTGATTGGTCGACAGTTATTCTAAGTTCAAGAATACGTTAACAAGTCGCGTCCTAGACGCTCTGCAATAAAGTGTGTTTTTAACTAACGTGTGTTTCATCCTAGATCTTTCAAGCTATTCCTGACATCTTTCCATCGTTTCCTTAACCGGTTACGTTTCTATTTCTACCCCTCGATTAACCTTGTCGAAACCTTACAGTACCGTAACAGATTTTTGCAGAGTATAAGCTGAATCGCCTATGAGGTGTTTATTATAAAAAAAATTGTCATTGTATTTTTGTTGTAATCCAGAATATTTAAGCACTCTCATATCGTGCACTGATCCTGGCATTCCAGCGTAGCAGTGGATAAACTTTTTCTTTTCATGCAACAACCTATAAACAAGAGCAATATTGTATATCGTTTTTTAATATAATAGAATCGATAAAAATCTAATATTTTATAATGTATTACATACTTGTAACTGTAAAGAGTGATGTCCTTTCCGGTTAATATAAGAAAGCGCATTATTTTTATATATGACTCAAACAATTGGTCTGTTTTCTGTTCCTGCACTAGACTGAACTAGAACTCGCTTTCTAAAAATATCAAACATATACCTATCTCACTTTAAGTTCTAAAAGTGTACACTAGTTCAGCCACAGAAAACATACCTAATCTTACTTAAGCCTACGGCACACGGTGCTTGTTTTCCTGCTGGATTGCTAGCTGGATTAGAATCTTGCCACCGTATTGGCTGCGGTGCTGAAAGTGCCAATATCGCAGCCAATCCAATGGCAAGAATCTGATCTAGCTAGCAATCCAGCAGGAAAACAAGCACCGTGTGCCGCTGGCTTTACTTGCTTGATCCCGCGCTTTTACGGTAAACGGAACGTGCCACCTTTCGCTTGTGTACCAAATACATTAATAAAAACTGTGTGTGAAATACAAAGATACGAGTAGCATTATTTTACATTCTACTGCGTTCCTTGCGCTCAATTATACCTATCAGGTTATGGGCCCAGACGAGCTACTCAAAATGCAAGTGCCCATAGAGAAGCTAACTTCATAAAACTTCGAGAACTGGCTTATACGTATCGAGGCATTGTTCGCCGGCAAACAAATAAATGAAGTTTTGACAGAAGATTTTCCGACACAACCACCAAAAGCAGTTAACACGTTCCAAAAGAATGACAAGGTCGGTATGTCGATTATCATATAAACGGTTAGCGACGAATATCTGCGGTTGATCAAGGGCAAAACGTGCAAGCAAGCGATACAAATACTGAAGGCCCGTCTCGAAAGAACAGGTGCTGTAGGCAAGTTATATGCACGCCGTGAATTTCAGTCGCTGAAACATGAGATGCGCGATGATTTCTCAATGTTTATGGTAAAGTTTGATAGCTGCATAGAACGAATGGAAGCCGGTGGTCTAACGGTAACAGAGGAAGAGAAAATAACTCAACTCCTCATGTCGATGCTAACAGAATTTAACAGTGTAATCACTGCGATTGAAACGATAGCAGCTAGAGACAATGATATCTCAGTGGAATTCGTCAAGGGCCGTCTCCTGGATAAGGAAACGAAACTAAAGAAGGGGCAGACATCGAATCAAGGACGAAATATAGCATTTCTGACATGCTATAACTATGGTAAGACAGGACACATCAAGAGAATATGCCGCTACAAACGGAGTGCTGATCACAGAAAACGTGGCAACCAAGAGGAATTCGAGTACAATGAGAGGCGTACAACGGACAAACAAGGAACCACACGCGACGGACAGCATAAACAAAAGGATAAATTCGGTTACTCAAATAAAGATAACTCGAGCGATAAAGCAAGAGCAGCTCAAGCGACCTGCGATGAGGATAAAGATCTCGTAACTTTCTACTCAGAAATAGAAGCAGCTTATGGTAATGCGAAAGACAAAGGTATGTAATTTGTGTTAGATTTGAGCGCGAGTCATCACATGATTAAGCATGAATTATTTACTCTAACCTATAATCGAAGAAAATTAAAGAAACCGATTATAGTGAACGTAGCAAAGGCAAATCAAGCGATTGCGGTACATACAGTAGCAGACATAGACTTGTACTATAAAGGTCGGTTAATTCAACTAACCAACGTATTATGCGCTGACGAACTATAAAAATGTAACCTTCTCTCCATTAAGCGACTAGAAGCCAAGGGATTCCATGTGGAGTTTAGAAACGGATGCGGATACATATACAAGGAAGATAGGCTGATCACACAAACAGAGCCTGGTAGTAGCCTGTATAACATTACATTCGAGAAACCACCAGAAGGATCGGACGGATGCGCAAGCCTAGCATTAGCTGGAGGATTAGAGCTTTGGCACCGACGTCTAGGGCACTCCCGCGTCATAAAAATGGATGACATATGTAAAGTGTGCATCGAGGCAGAAACCCAGATAGCCAAACCCACCAAAAGCATGCATTGCAAATTTATGCTACATATTATAATGGCAAAAATCGAGCAGCAGTCGAACACGGTTTACCGTTTCAGTATAGCCATAACAGAAATACAGCAAAAATAGAGCAAACCTGCGTCATAATACACTAGCAAAAATTCTATAAAAATTCATCAAACTTTGTCGAAATAAAGCAATCAGAAATCGAGCAATACATGCTGATAAAATAAATTAACAAAAAATAGA